CATTCGCATGCAACCAACATAAGTCGAACGCAATGCAGCTATACTCTTATTACAAGATTTCCATAGGGTTGATTTTGATCTTTGTCATCAAAGTTAGTTTCTTTTTCACTTTTCATCACTATAGAAATAAGTTTTTAGAAACGTAAATAAATGTTTTTTGAGAGCGATTAAAATTCTCTATCACTTTATGTCATTGTCTAGTTTTGCATAGATGTGCTCGACAATAGTTTGAGTATTGCATAGGCACCTTCCATGGAAAAAAAATCCTACAATACAACATAGCTTTTATTATCTGCTTTATTTCTTGTCTCACAAATTCAGCGTGATTGTGTATGTAAGAATATCACTAGATGACGCAAATACGTTACAGAGCAGTTCAAAAATATGAACTACAAAACTATTCAAAAATTCTGTATTCTATATATATATTTATTTATAGAAACATATGTATACAGTTAGAATAAGTTTATTATCTACTAGGGTCTACAAAGTTTCCGAAATAGAATAATTACAAATAGGGAATACGTTGAATCGTTTACTCACCACTTAGTTGGTCAATAGTAACCGTTCACCGCTTGTAATAACAGAAGGTTGAACTATTTGTTGCTGAATTACAATTTTCCGAATAACCTCTAAAATGATGCTCCATGAAAACCTTACAAATTGTTAAAAATTGCATGAAAAGATGCTTTTTGGATAATCTAAACTTTCTCAAAATGATGTTGTAGTCGAAAAATTTAAAATCTTTTTTCTGGAATCATTTTCTCAACAATAACAAGTTCTTTTCTTTTAGAAGATATTTTTAAAGCGAATTCGGTTTAGTATTCACATGATGTGTATCAGAGACCTCAATGGGCCGAATTTTAAAAAATGTCGGGAAATCTCGCAGGTTACCACTAAATTCCTTTCCAAGAAAATTGAAAACTATTTAGTAAAATCAATTATATAGTACCCATATATGACTTACGCAGAGACTTTTTCTAAAAGTTAGCACTAGATACGATAATGAACACATTCAAAATTTAGAAAAAAAAACTTACCGTATAGGGTGTCCGTAAAGTCCTTAGAGTTAGAAAATACTCAATGTTTTCGTCATTCTTTACCCAAATGAGCTGATTTTTTTCTGAGTATAGTAAGTGGATAGAAGTGTCTATTCATCACAAAATAGACCATTGATGAACATAAAACAAGCAATTTTTTTAACACTGTAAGTAAACTTTACAATGAGGTTTTTTCTCATAGTTACATGCTGATGCTATAGTATATTCTTTTATTTATTTAATCAGAAATGTAACTAATATGTAAGCCTAGTTTGAGACAAATCGTCCTCCATTATTCATACAGACATGAAGGAGCTGTTGAACAGAACGACATACTTTGCGACACATTTCTTCTGGTATCTGTTCACAAGCTTCTTCGATTCTCTGTTTAAGTTCTTGAATGGTAGTAAGTAGCTTTTTAAACACTGTGTCTTTCAAATATCCTCAGAGGGAAAAGTCGCATGGAGATAGATCTGGTGAACGAGCTGGCCAATCATATGGGCCACGTCTGCCTATCCATCGATCTAGAAAGTGTTCATCAAGCCATTCTCGAACTATAATATCATAATGTGGTCCTGCACCGTCATGCTGGAAGTAATAGTTTTCTTATCTTAACTGAGGCCACGCAAAATTGACCAGCATTTCCTTGTACAATGGGCCAGTAACAGTATCGTTAAAAAAATACGGACCAACAAGTCCATCAGAACTAATTCCGCACCAAACCGTCAATCCTTGTCGCGTATTAGGTATTTCATATTTTATCTGCGGATTCTCTCTTGCCCAGTATCTGTAATTATGGCGATTAATCGTATTATCCATATTGAAATTCGCTTCATGGCTCCAAAATATACGATCGATTAGATTAGGATCATTCTCCAGCTTTTTCAGCCATACTTCGCAAAGCTAGCTGCGACGATCGAAATCATCTTCGTTAAGGTCCACTATTAAAGTTGGACGATAGGGTTTGAAGTGAAGTTGTTTCATAGCTACATGACAACTGGTTTTTCCTATCCCAGCTTGACCAGCACCTAGACGTATAGACACCTATGGGTTAGTAGTAACCATATCTTCAATTTTCTCTAATTTTTCTTCCGAGAGTGCAGTTGATCGACCGCTGCGTGGTAAATCTTCAACTGTTCCATTTTCATCAAACTTTTTATTTACCAGAGAAATTGTAGTTAAATGCGGTGGAGTTGCATCAAAATGATCTTCCCACCGTCTTTGTACGTCGCGTACATTTTCGTACTTCGAAAAAACCCGTACAATCACTACTCTTTCGTCAATGGTGCGACTTTCACGCATCTGGAAAAATTATAAATAGAATGAATAATGTTATGTGCTCTTCCATCACGTAGATCATTTTCTTATCTTCTTTTCTCGAGATTTTATTCTTTACTTCTCCTACTTAAATCCAATTACTTCGCTTACATGTATGCATGCACATACACATATATATCTATTAGTATAATCGTTAAATGAATGAGAAGAAAAAAGTGAGAAAATGGTCAGGTTCAACGAGTGATTTACGTTTTGTACAAAATCAGACGTCATCGTAGCGAATTACTTATTTCATTGAAGAAAGTTTGCTTGTTTTATGTTCATAAATGGCCTATTTTGTGATGAATAGACACTTCTATCCGTTTACTATACTCAGAAAAAAAAATCAGCTCATTTGGGTAAAGAATGACGAAAACATTGAATATTTTCTAACTCTAAGGACTTTACGGACGCCCTATATAGCTAATATTGTTTACGTATATAGATGTGTTAACATTTATTACCTTTTTCTAGCTTAGTATTTTTTTATCAGAAAATCTGGAAATCGTTAACATTTTATTAATAGGTTTTAACGAATCCATACGAATACAATTTATTGGAGAATCGTTTCTAGTTATTGTTCAAGAAGATGGTAGACGTTGCTGTAACCATTTGATAAGTTCATCTTCAATTGACATAAAAATGTTATTCGATTTATCATCTTGACATCGAACATTCAATGTTCGAAGACTCTTAATTTTATTAGCAAGTTTCAGTATACATGCTCGATTAGTAACATCAATTAACAGTACTTCGCATTGAATATCTGACAATAATTGACTTAATGTAATGCATTCTTCTTGATTATATCATTTATACCATATTAAATCTAATTGAGCAATTGAAAGAACTTTTTTTTTCAACTGATAACACTTGTGGAATCGTTGATAACCAATTACGAAGACGTAACAAAGATATATGAGGTATTTTATCGAGTAAGGTTTGTAATTGAATGTCACAATTTTCACTATTACCGTTCGATAATCATACATCAAGTAACTATTGTTAATTGTTCAAGTCGTGGAACGATAACCAGAAATGTTCGTTAATAGGAAAATATACACAAAGTTCTCGTATTTTATTGAATTGTATTTGAGATAGAGTCGACCATTCAAATAACTCACTTTCTTAAGTAAGTCTATGTACATTATCATATGACCATTGTTGATTATCATTAAGAAAAGTTGATTTCGATAGAATAGGAGATCGAAAATAAAAGGTGTCGAATGCATATAGTAAACTATAGAGAAAATCTTGCTATTATGTGGATTCCAATTACATCGAACAAATAATTGGTATTTTTCAAGCCAGAACTGACTTTGAAATAATTTCAATATTTCATCAATTTTCTGATCTTTATCATCATTATCATCAAGTTCATCGTTCATTCGAAATTCAAAACTTTTAAGTTTAGTTAAATATGTTTGAATGATTTGTTCCTATGTTTTTCCATTTATATACATATCTGGTAAATCGACTTTTAATCGAAGTAAATTTGGCATGGATTTGAAAAAATTTTCTAGAATATGATGTTCTACAGAGAAAAATGACACATTCAAGGCACTGATCGATGTCATAGTTGATGATTGATATTCATAAGATAATTGAAAATAAAATCTATTGAAAGATGTTTGTAACGATAGATAGCAGAAGTGAGAAATGTTATGACAGACTGGAGGAGTAGCTTACCGCCACCCTCGACAATGATGTTTATTAGCTACTTCATATCTCCAGAGTGTGTCTATTTCACATTCAACACACGCTTATATATGATACAGAAACAAAGCGAGGAGAGATGACACAGAGAGAACAATAGAAAGAGAAGGAGGAAGAGCAGTGAGCCGTGACGCATATATCGGCACAATGTTGAAGATATGGTGTCTTTTCCAATGGACAAGTCATTTGAGTAAACCTTGGTTCGATGTTACTGATTGATAGATATTCAATAGTTGATGAAATAACTGTTGATGTAGGAAAATAAATTTGTGTTTCTTTCATCACATGTAAAGTAACATTCTTCAAAAGTCAAATGTGTAATATTGAATAAATAAGATAAATCAGATAGTATTGTCCAGGAGTATCATCTTGTTTCTTACAGATCAAGTGAATGCATTTGGACAGCAATTGCAGAAAGATGTCAACATATTGCATAAAAACTATATTTTGATATTGATCGAAAATCAAGACCATGAGTTCGAAAATGATCAAGAAGAAGAGAGTTAAAACGTGAATTGAAGCCATGAAATGCATGAAGAAGATGAGCGGAAGACAAATATTCAAATATATCAATAATCAATTCATTAGCTAACGATTCAAGATTCATGTTTATTTTCTTTGCTTTCATAATCTCAAATGTTATGCATTGTTATGTTCTAACTCACAAGAAAGAAACAAGCATCTTCAGGTGTTTTTTTTCTCTCTGCGATGTCTTTTTGTCGGAGAACATCGATTCGAAAAAAGATTAAAGAAAGAAAAATGAAAGATATTTTTTCTTTTTCTGCCTCACACGCACACGTGTATCATTTCTTTAAAGTAAACTACAAAGGAAAAAAACATAAACAAAGAAAAGAGAATAGAGAGAAACAAATAATTCGTTATATAATGCTTTTTTTTATAATATCTATTCTCATCAATAAGGGATTACAAATTTGAAAGAAACAACTGTTATTTACTTATTAATAACCACATTTTTTTAACTTTTTTTGAAAATATTTTCTAACGGAAATTTCTATAGGATACGAGTGTAAACTAAGATATGCCGACAAAGGCCTACAGATTCACACTGTAAACGAGACATTTAGCATTGTAAGCCAAATCAATGATTCTGGAAAGTTTGCAGAGAGAATTTTTTTTTTCTTTAATAAGTAATTCAAAATCTACAATGTCATTTGCTCTAGTTTTCGATTATTATAAAGACTGGAAATAAAATTTACTACTACTGTTTTCTATGTATATTCGTCCTAATCTTCTAGTTTGCTTCTTACCTATACTCATCAAGAGAAGAAATGAAATACAAAAGCTTCTACAGTCTTTTTATAGCTCTTTTATTATCGAATTCAACAAATTAATAGTAAAGTAGAAGTCGTCTGAGAATATTAAAATCTTCAGTACCTAAATTTTAAATGCTTAATTAATTATCAACAGAATAAAAATTAAGGACAATAAGAAATTGAGTTATGAAATTATTCAAGCCATTCTTCAAAAGCAAACTAGTGTTCAAGTTTGTTCTCAATCAAGATAAGATGCTTCAGATGGTAAACAATAAACTACGTGTTGGACGATAGAAATAAAAGTTTCATACCTGTGTAACAGAGTATTATGGTATGTAG